AGAGCAAGAGGAAAGAGTGAAAGAACTCTGTGCAGTGAAGCGGACCCCGTACTCAGGTGGCTCGGCAAAGAAACCTGATTTACAACCTAAGAAGCCTCTACAGAAAAGGAAAGGGAGAGAAGAGCAAGAGCAAAAGGAAGGAGTGAAAGAATTCGTACAGTGAAGTGGACTCAGTGCTCAGTTCACTCGGCAAAGAAGCCTGATTTACAACCTAACAAGCCTGTAGAGAAGAAAAAACGAAAGAAAGAAAAAATAAATAAAGAGAGAAAGAAAGAAAAGAAAAGAAAAGAAAAGAAAAGAAGAGAACAGACAAGAAAAGAAAAGAGAAGAAAAGAAAGAAAGAACGAAAGAAAGACAGAAAGAAAGAGGAGACAAAAACAAAAGAAAACATAGAGAAAGGTCGACTGGGTGCCGAAGGGCAAATTCTCGCGCGCTCAAAAACTGGTACTAGTCGGGCTGGTGATGATATAGCCGGTATCGGCGCAACCTGGATTTACAATCCAACAAGCCTCTAGAGAGAACGAAATGGAGAGAAGAACAAGAGCAAAAAGAAGGAGTAAAAGTCGTGTGTCGGTTGAGTGTTGAAGATTGGCTAAATCATGAGCGTGAATGAAACTGTCTGATCTTCTGTTGGAGAATCTCCGTGGACTCGGCAGTATTATTTCAGCATTCGCACACCCAAGTGGGAAGACACTTAGATAAATAGCTCAACTGAATGAACTTAAATTGCAGTATTGGTTCGCCGCTGCACTAGCCCTTGACCTTGCAGCCAGTTATAGACCTTGACTTGCACAATGGTATGTCGAGAAGTCTGAGTCAGCGCAAAAGAACGGTTAAACAAAGAGTGACTCGGTGGCCCTTGTTCGGAAGAGTGGGGTAATAGCTTGTCAACGCCACAAACAAATGCAGCTACGTGGAAGCGGCGTCCCACTTCCATATCCTCGGATACATCGCCAGCTTCGTTGACCAGGCGACGATGTACCCTGCCTGTTCCCCTGCTGGACACTGGAAACCTTTAAAAATTGTTCTTGGACACAGAGTTGGACACACACACACACACTGCACATTCTCTCACACACACAGAAGCGTCCAATGTTGCAGCAAGTTCTTTTCTTACTTCAGTCTTCAGTTTATTCAGATACGATCCCAGAGTGATTGAACAAACAGTTTCAACATGGGAAATATATTTTTGGCAACCTCCTGACAGAGTCCAAACTCGAAGAGTTTTTCGACTGTAATTTCTCCCTTGGAGCCATGCTTCCCATACGTTTTGAAGTGCTACCGACTCGATGCGCTGTGAGCAGTGAGAGGTGGAAACGCCAACAGCAAACCTTCTGTGCTCCTGGCTCTTTTGCTTCTTGCCTTCTTGCTGGATTGGCTTGTAGCAAGGCCGCAGAAGGGCACAGACAAGCTAGATACCACATCTGTGCTGTTGCAGTCCACCCTGTGCAACTTCGACGCAAGCGGTTGAATCAGCTCAAGGTTGGAGAGAAACTGAAGGGGAGAGTGGTTCACGTGGCAGCCACTCATGCTGTGGTCGATGTTGGTGCAGAGTGCGACGCTGTCCTACATGCCAGCAAAATGGCTCAAGCCGATCAAATCCCTGGCAGGGTTGTTGAAGGCATGGAGGTGGACGTTTGGGTCAGTGGGAAGAAGTCTGCAGGCCTGGGATCATCCAGCATTTCTTTGGCATGGCATATACATTAACTTTGGAATGATGCATAATCTGATTATAATCTGCGTATATACGTTTTCATTCCAATCATTTTTGTTTTCCACGTCTTAAACTCGCGCTGTGGTGAAATTCAGACGGTGATCAAGGGTTGCTTTTGCAATACTTCTTGGAAGCGGAGCAGCCACTTCCTTGCATGTCAAGAGTAGCACCATTCATTCCATGATCAGTGGTTTTGAAGGTTGAAGTGGCATTCTTCTCATTTAACAGTTTTGAGCCGGTGGGTGCTCGCATACCGTTGAGATCGTAAGACTTTATGCACTTGCATAGCTGTAGGTCCGCTAGCTGCAACTGCACATTTGCGACAAACTTCATGCAAATTTAAGGTTCACATGTCCCTGACGGCCGAACATGTCTGGTAGAGCACTACTCTTGCATTGAAGTCCCGAAAGTGAACAGCAATCCACAACAACTTGGACTCTGCAGCTTGAACCTATTTAGATGTCCAAGGTCAAAGACAGGAAACTGCTGAATCCTTGAACAACCCCCCCCGAACAGTCTGATCAAAGGTGGCATGTGTGATGCTCGATGCCGACAACCACTGAACTTCAATACACAAGCGGGGCGCTCCTCGAGACTACGTGCGATGATCAAAATACGTTGGAAAGCCACAAGCACTTCGGGCTTCACGAGCTCCAAAGAACCTAAAACGCCTGAGTGTTCCAGGGCCAAAGACCCTTGTGATTTGCAGACCCGGTGAGCATTGAAAACGGCCTCATGGAAGAGATTCAAGCGTTGCAAAGCTCCTCCAAAGATGTCCCTTTTCTATATATATCATGATATGATGGCATGGCCGACACCAACAGTGCCAGGTATGGAAACAGTTCTTGCTTCCAACCCTCCTGCAACAACACAAGTGCCCACATATATATATATATACAGTATACACACTTACTTGCACGCACTTAGCATTTGCTGCACCAAGGCCTACCCTAAACACATGAACACTACCATCAATGCACTGTTTTGGTTTGTCTGCCGATATACAAGATGTGCTCATCCTGCACATGAGAGGCAGGCTCAGAGGGACCTCACTCAAGGACCTGTGCCCATTGTCACAGACGTCCATGACAAGTAACGAAAGCTAACCGCCAGGCCGCCAGGCGAAAGCTTAAGCTGTCGTTTACCTAAGCTTGCTTAGCAACGAGGGTCTGGGGGGGAGCCAGGGCCTCGGAGGCATTCGTGTGCACCAGTTGTTCTTTATATACAGTTATACAGTATCCTTTTCCAGGCTTGCAATTTGGTGAGTTTCGGGGCACGCTGCTGCATGCGCATTTGCTCGCCGGCGTACATGTGCCAATCTGGGCCCGCTCTCGTGGGTGCACATTTTTGTGTGCATGCCCATATGGGTGCCCTTGTTGACTTGGGGCGCTTTGGGCGCCCCGTGTAACGTGCAAAGAAAGAGGAGTGTGCTGTCCTACAACCTGCCCTATTCAGTAGTTTAGCCAGAATGTTTCTAACCGTACTTTTTGGGATGAAGTTGTGTGTTCAACGGGAACGCAACAAATAATGTGCTGATGTCTTTGCGGGCACAGGTTATGGCCTGGCAGATGGCACAACTTGGAGAATCGACGCAAAATTGGAAGTCACGATGCTGCATCCGAAGGAGACCGATTTGGTTTTTTTGATCGGGTTGCGATTGTCAGGAACACCCTGTGTTAACGACAAAAGTGTAAGCAAACCTGCCAAATGCGCTCGCAAAGGTTTCTGTGGGCCGGAAGGGCTGCCTGTCACAGAACCTATGCAACATGGACTGGGATGTGCCAAGTCAAAGGCAGCGATTGCATAGCAGGCTATTTGGGCTCTGGAGTCGGAAATCTGCGTGCGGCTTGCACTGATCACGCAGACCACTTCAGGCCCAACACTTAAGGCGTCCAATTGCTCCCAACACCCATTTCCCTGGACAGCAACCTTCTCACCACGTTTGGGGGGGAAGCATGGTGCAAGGCACAATGGCGCGAACCCAAAAGCTTTGTTGTCTTAGACAGGTCAACATGTCGGTAACCATTGCTTTGCTCATGGGTATGGAGTTCTTCCTAGTGTTCTTGATGGATGCTTGCACGAAAGGGAGACCCCTGTGCCTGACTACCTTCGCACCTCAAAACAAGCAAAGTCAAGTTTGCCTAAACCATTTTCAAAGGAGCTCAATGTTTTTATGCAGAATAAGCTGACAAGCTAGGTTGAGCTCCGCATCTCTCCCTCCCGGTTGGTGCAAAGTTTTGGATAGGGCCTGCGCAGACCACCGGCGAGCACATTTCCTACACATTATCACATCTCCTTCTAAGCACACAGTCGTTCATTTGAAAGCCGACTCAGTTCTGCAACTACTTGCTCAGCCAACTTCCGGCAAGCTGGGGCGGCAGCGTTCGAGAATGCCTATCCTGGCCTGTACAGCAGTTGCATCAGGTGGCCTGTTCACGGCTGGATGCGGTGTAAGGACAATCGGGGTCACCTCTTCATACGATTAACGGGATTTCACATACTTTTGGCAATTTGCACACTTCACTGTCCATTTTGGGTATGCCATCTATGACCAGTCCACAAGAATTCAGGATCACTAGGCAAAGCCTTCAAGAAATCCGCCAGAGTGCGCCCTGCAGGCCCTTTCCCCACCCCAGCTTCCCAGCGCTTCCTTTTAGAAAGGCGGTGTGCCATGTCAAGTTTGAGGGGTTTCATGGGGTGGCCACCAGGGCGCTTAACAAAGCAGCCACGGACAGCGACAAATTCAATCACTTGTTTGGCAAAAGCATCGCATTTCACAAGCGCCTGACACACACTTAGCTTGGGGCTCGCAAGAGCTAAGTCGGTTGACGAAGTTGCAGAAACTAGTCACTGACTACCTATATAGCACTCTAGTTACTGAATACCCAGCCCAGAACGGTAAGGTGAAAAGGTCCGCGACAACTGAAGTGTTTCAACATTTGCATGTTTCATGGTGCAAGTTCGAGCTTCCAGACACTAGTTACTGACTACCTAGCACTCTAGTTACTGAATACCTAGCCCTTCACTTGTAGAACGGTAAGGTGAAAAGGTCCTCGACAACTGAAGTGTTTCAACATCTGCGTGTTTCATGGTTGAGCAGTTTTAAAAGTGCAGGTACGTTTACACGGGCCCCAGAGGAGGTCTTCGTTGGCCACCGCTCCTTTGGGACCCCGGTGGCCCCCTGCTGTTAAAAATTGGTTTTAAATATTTGACAATGTGCGCAGCCTTAGAAACAGGCTTTGACACACACTCTGACATTGGTTTGCTGTTAACTCAATTCCCACGTTGAGAAGGAAGGTGAGGGAAAGGCAAGGCGAAAGGTTCAAAGATTTGAAGATGTTTGAACAAATGGTTTTCGCGCGTCTGCAAGTCACGAGAACAGCGGTGTCGAGCAATCAGCGCGGCTGCACATCTGCGGTGGGAAAAGGTTTTGGGGTCTATCATGTAAGGACCATGGAATCAAACAAGGAAAGATTGGAGTCACAGCTTGGTCAAAGGTTGTAGCAGGTACACATCAGGACGTCTCCCGATGCATCACCAGAGAATGTGGACGTCTTCGTTGGCAGTGATTCCACAAACTCTGTCACTGCCCCCTGCTGTGCTGTCAGAACAAAGCACAGGACCCTTTGGAACAGGGGTTGACACACACAGATAGCCGAGATCGGCGCAAGTGCATGAAATGACAGTGGTTTCTGTTTTTCTCAAAAATCGCCGGCACGCAGTTGGATCATGCCCTTTTTGGACATACAGCCGGATAAGTTCTTCAGCCGCTGCCGCTGCGGTGTTGGGTGGAAAGGTGTATGTGTATATTGCATGGAGTCTGGAAGCTAAGCCGGAAAGAGCCAAGCGCTGGCTACCGGCGCTGGTGGGATCCCTGATTTTCCAGGTTGGATGTAGGTGATGGTTCGTTGTGGTAGGTCAATGTTGAAGCCCAGGAGGTGAAAGTCGTCCACTGTTTCCAGCTCTACTGGATCGCCAAAAAAGTTGTGGTGAATGAGAGTCTGTATGGCTGGGTGGGAGAGGAAGTGTTCGTTGTGCACGATGAAACGGTTGTCAACGTATCTGTAGTAAGTGAAGTGGAGGGCTGTGTGCTGGAGAAGGTTGTTGTGGAGCTGGTGCCAGGAGTGTTCAATGAGGGTGATTGCAACGTTGCAAAGGGCAGGAGAGAGTTGGGAGCCAATCCCAGCCCCTCGGATTTGTTTGTAGGTGTTGTTGCATGCCCGGAAAATGCAAGTGTTGAGTGCAAAGGCCACAATGGTGGTGATGTCGGATGTATGGAGGGTGCGTTGGGTGGGATGTTTTGTGTAGTGTCTGCCAACGTGGGAGTGATGGAAGGGGTTGCCAGTGGCTTTGGTGTCAACGGTCAGGGTGTGTGTAGTATTTGGGTGCTGCCATTGTTGGATCATAGAGTGGACTGCGTCAATGAGGCGGTGTTGGGGCACTGAGTTGAAGAAGCCCACAAGGTCATCGTTGGTCGCGTGAAGAGGAATGTCTGCCGGTGTGTGGGTAAGGTAGCAATGGAGGTGGCGCCATAGTTGTGGGATGGACAGTTGGCCTGGATGTTGTGGGAAAAGGTGTTGCAAAATGATGTCAAGTGCTCGACTGGTGATGCGTAAGAGGTTGCCACTCAGGGAGTGGAAATACGAGATAATGGTGCGTCCTTTCTGCCACTGCTTCTTGGCCTTGAGGTGAACAATGCCGTATGGGATTGTGAAATCCTTTCTGAATCCCCATTTGTATCGAGAGCGAAGGCTGGCCGGTATGGTGGCGGAGAGGTGGTCATGGATGCTAGATGAAGTGAGATGTGGAAGGGGTTCAAAAAGTTCCGGAGCCTGCCATGTGTTGAGTGCGCCTGTGAAGTATTGACGTGGGCAAAAAATCCGGAGTTGTTGGAGTTCGTGATCAGCATGATGGAGTACGACGTTGTCGCCCAGGTATTCTTGGAGTTGACGGATGAGGCGAGCTGTAAAGCGCGGTTGTTGTTTGAGGTGTGTTGTGTGAAGTCTCCATTGGTGCTGAAGGAAAGGCTCCAAGTGTTGACTGAGCGAGGTCGGGAGTCCTTGCAACCGGAGCCATTTGGTGAAGGCGGTTTGGAATGTGAGAAAGTATCTGGCTTTGCTGGGGAAGAAGGTGCTGTTCATATTGGCGTCCAGGAATATGCGGAGATGTGGTGGTAATGTCAATTGGTCCAAGGTGAGGATGTAGTGGTCGCTGGCGGTAGCCGTGGCGGGTTCGAGAAGAAGGTTTTTTAGGTGAGAGCATCACTGGGGTTTGGAGGTGTGTGCAAGGTGGCTTCCCAAGCGCGATGGTTGTGAAGCTGTGCTCGGAGTGTTTTGTGGGCGGCTTCGCGTAGACGGTGTGTGGGGAGGTGAAGTGGAATGGCCAAACGCTGTGCTTGTGTTGTTGGATAGTGGTTTGTAGCCATTGCTGGCAGTGCTTGGTGAACTGGTCATGAGCCAGGAATGGTACTGTAAGGGGAATGTTGGGCTTGGGAGGCGTCAAATTTCTGTAGTGTAGTGCTTTGTTGATAATGCTCGGCTGCGACCTGGCTCTTCAAGATTGGAGGCCATACGTCTGATGGCGTACACTTCTAGGTCAGTATGACGGCCGCTGCGAAGTTGTTTGGCTGCTTCAAAGGAGGCTATAGTGTGCTTGGTGAGATTGCGGAGAAGAGTCAGGGCTTGATGTTTGGTGGAGGTAAAAAGGTATGGTTCTCTGATCGTCTGCTGTCGTCTGCGGAGCTTGCGAAAGAGCCGCTTGTGAGTGGCTAAGCGGGAGTAGAAATGTGCTCGGTGCTTTGTGAATTGCCATCCCTCGGCCTTGAGCTTAAGATGTTGGGAGATGAAAGGCCAGTTGAGGGGTGGCGTCCAGTTGGAGATGAAGTGGTGTTCTTTGATCCATGCTTGCTCGTAGTGTCGTGGGAAGAGAGCTGGATGGTAGTGAAGTGGTGAATGTTGTCATGTGAATGCCAGTAGCGCAGGGATAGTTCAGCGGAGACTGGGATGTTGTTTTGAAGTTGTTTGAGCTTGGCTCGGCGATTGTGTTCTCGATGTGGTATGCCAATGGCAGTGGAGCCCGCATAGTAGTGGCCATGTTGGTGGTAACAACGTTGTGGAGCGATGGTGTTGAAGTGGAGTTTGATGTAAACTGAGTTGGAGGAGAGGAAGTTGTGGTAGTGGTAAGTGTGAGGCAGAACCTGAAGGTGTCGCAAGCGTTGGCGCCATTGTTGGGATCGTTGTGTGCGGCGGGTTCGGCCGGAGCAGCTGGTGCACTGGGGGCGGAGGAGCGGCCGGCCTCTTTGCGGGGTGTAAGTTCGATGCCGTGGGCTTGCAGCTTCTCTCGGGCTCGTGCCAGGTCGTCAGAAGTGGCTTTCAAGGCGCGAAGGGCTGAACCTTCAGCGGCTGCTGGAGTGTGAGCTTGAAGTTGTTGAGCGAGGAGAGATATCAGTGGGGCGTGGAAGGCGCGAGCCTGGGTGGTCTTGTTGGGAACTTCGGTGCCTTGGGAAGTGTGTAAGGCTTCAGCAATAGCGTCCAGTCCCGAATTTCTTGTAATAGGTGGGTGGTGAAGACGGACTCTGCTATGCTGCGTGTTGGGATGAGGCCACAGTACTTCCCGTGGCTGAGA